CACACACACACACACTCTCTCTCTCTCACTCCCACACGCACGCACTCACACACACACACACACACACACACTCTCACACTCCCACACGCAAGCACTCACTCATACACACACACACTCTCTCTTTCTCTCTCTCTCTCTCACACACACACACACACACACACACACACACACACTCCTGACCTGCACTTCAGTTCTTAAGCCACACAAACTCTCACTTTATTTACAGTAACAAAATATCTTTACAAAACAACATTTAACATTTCAAATTCAGACTTGATGCAAGTTATGAAAAAAGCATAAAAATCTCTCACACACACACGGTACACTCACACACACACACACACACACACACACACACACACACACACACTCACTCACTCACTCACAAACTTTTCATTCTGACAAGCAGATCTACAAAAACTGAATGAGGCAGTGTAAATAGAGTGAATTACATGAAGATCCCCCCAAAAAAAGAAATTATATTTTACACACATCAAGAAAATCAATCATATTTTTTAGAAACAATGGGTTTTTTTTGCATCAAAATAATGGGTATAAATTGCATTTATGTGAATTTCAAGTTAATGTCATAATTCAAAAAAGAATGAATGATTCTAAAAACATGCTTCATTTTCTTTATGTAAAATATAATTTCAAACATTTTTTTTTGATTTTGCGATGAAATATGAGCCGGTGTGGGATTCACTCTGTAGAAATGTCCTCTGATGAATTCACTGCAAACACTGCAGCAGTGCCCTGAAATACAGTGAGAGCGTCTCCATCTCTCAGAATCAGAAGAGTAGAATATTGTCATCATGCATGGATACATCAGCTGCGTTCCTAATATAATACTAGCATACTGCGTCAGCACACAGTGATGTACTGTGCTACCGCCGTCACATCAGGAATAGTTCATCCAGAAGTGAAAATGTGTTCACACTCAGGTCATCTGAGTTTAGGATGAGTTTGTTTCTTCATCAGATTTGGAGAAATGTAGCATTGCATCACTTGCTCACCAATGGATCCACTGCAGTGAATGGGTGCCGTCAGAACCAATCCATCAAGACATTTTTAACAAAAAGCCCATTAAGTCCATAATCCATAATAACTCTTCCTCCAGTGAAAAAGTGCATCTGCTGTTGTCTCTCGCATCAAAATCCAGCCACATATGTGTTTAGAGCTGTTTAAACGCTGCTTGATCTGTGCAGATTTCTCTCCTGATTCACACCAGAACACTGACTCACTGGAGGAAGCGTTATTATGGATTTTAGACTCATATTTTAGTCAAAAACATCTTAATGCTGGATTAGTTTCAGCTTTTGTCTTCTCCAGATGGTAACTGATGGACTGGAGTGCTGTGGATTATTGTGATGTTTTTATCCGCTCTCATTCTGACGGCACCCATTCACTGCAGAGCATCCGTTGCTGAGACACTGATGCAATGCTACATTTCTCCAAACCTGATGAAGAAACAAACTCATCCTAATCTCAGATAACCTGGGTGTGAGCACATTTTCAGTTTGGAGGAACAATTCCTTAAGGTGTGAATTCCGTCTGAGTGATCAAATCATAAATGAAAATGTTTATATTTTTGCCTGATATCTAGATGATTGCATAATAGTACATACTGCAGTAGTATGATAGTGTGCTATTGTGAACACAGCCTGGTTAATCATCCTCCGAGATCCGTACAGACGCAGCCGTCTGCTTCAGTCAGGCTCGTTTAGTCTCTAGTAAACTGAAGCGTGGTTCATGAACCAGCGGATCTCACACGAATGAGTTCATGGCGTTCACCAGAGACGGAGGCGTCGCCTCTTTATCCGACCTCCCGCTATACTGTCCGATAAACGAGCCGTCCTCGTTGAACTGCGTGTCTCCGGAGTCGACTAAACTGTCGTCGCTGCCGTCGCGCTTAACGCTTCCACTGGACGGAGTTCGGCTCCCTTTGAGCGGTTTATGGTCCTCGTCACTAGGAGAAAAACCACATGCAGGTGAATCATGATGCAAATCAAACTCAAAAGATGGACGGCACACACACATGCAGGATCAGTGTCACATGTGCAATCACATACATGTGACAGGATGAGAGACAAAACCTGCGTGAACGTCAAAACAAGCGTTAAAGCATCATGGGAAACTATCAGAGGAATAAAGATGGATGAAGCGCAATCCATATCTCAGCATCTGAAGCGTGAAGATGAAAAACAGATTCATCAAGCCGTGATTCAAACATCAGCCTGAACATGATCATCATGACATAAAGCCTGATTCCTGAAGCACCAGCTGAATCTGAGCGAATCATTCAAAGATTCTGATTCATTCGACAAACTTCCTGAAGACACTCCTTCTGCTGGTGCTTCATGAACGAAGCCCATCAGCCGCGATTAAAACACAAACAGATTGAGGAAAACCTCAAATCATACATGAATCATGAATGGATGTAGCCACACTTCCCATGAAACGAGTAAGTTAGTACAGGTAACTAGAGAACAGACAGGCTCATACTGTATAGTGCTCTCATATACATGTTTTTCTCTGGTTTTATTAATATTATGGTTTTTTGTTGTTGTTCTGAATTTGTTGATACAATTTCAGAATCATTTGGCACCAATTTAATAATTTTATAAAAAAATTTTTTTTAACTTTTATATATTTTTAAAGTAATACTACTACTACTACTACTAATAATAATTTTTAAAAGTCCAAAAATACTGTATAACCCTAGTAAAATTTTTTTTTTATTTATAAAAGTAGTTTTTATACAATCTTCGAGCATACAGCTCTTTTAAGGGCCGTTCACTCGGAACACGTCTTTGCATCAAGAGCAGAATGCGAGGGCCTTGAGACGTGCTTTTGAGACGTGACTCAATAATGTAAATAAAAACAGTTGCCATGCCATCTTGCTACTGTAAACAAAAACTTGCAACGGTTGCCCCGCCCCCGGAGTCTTCTGATTGGTCCACTGTTCTGGAATTGAGATTGATAAGTGGCTCTGCTTAAGAGACGCGAGAGCAGCGGTCATACACGTCTATCTAGTGCGTTTACAAAAAAATGGAAAAGTAGCGCATTGGAATGGAAAGACGTGTTCTGTGTGAACGGGCCCTTACTCTGTCCGTGGTTCATTCTCACTGCATGTTCTCGGGCTAGCGATGATGTACATGTGTGTGATCCTGGAATGGTTGTGTTTTTCTCCTCTCGCATGCAGATTCCCGCTTACCTTCCCACATTCGACCGGCACTTAACGAAACGGGAGGAACGAACGCCAGCGACTCAGTCTGCGCGAGCGTCACAGCAGATGCGATTCAGAGCTACTAAACATCACATACTAAGAGCAGTAATGAGTGTTACTTCAGAGCAGCTGAGTCAACTCTGATTCACGATCGTTTAATTACTGCTGAGTGTGAGTTTGTTTCAGATAGCGTTATCATTCAAGGATTGAACGATCCTGTAATCCACACTCATATTTTGCATTTACATTTGGCAAACGCTGACTTACACGACATTCAAGGTAAAGATATGATCATTGTTGGTTGTAATCCATTAAAAGTAATGCAAGTTACGTAATCGAAAGTCTTTTTTCCAAGTACCTAGTAAAGTAACAAATTACTTTTTAATTTACAAGACAATCTGAAAATATTTTCACTTAGAAAATTATTGAAATATTCATTTAAAATCTCAAGGGACATTAATGTAACAATTTCATTTATTTATATTGTAATTTCTAAATATTTCATGTAAATATTTTTGTCTAAAATGCCGGTTTGTGTCAAGTGAAGAGCAGCTGTCAGATTCACATCACTGACCAGCGTTACGAGGAACACTGTATGCTGAGGACAGATCAACATCTGCAATAATGTCCAGCGTATAAAAAGGAAATAATTTAGTAAAGCAGGGAATATAAAGAACATTGCTATACAGGAGTAAAGTTCGTTCGTCTCTCTCCCGCACGTGTGCAGAATAACGCAGGAATAGACTTTAAATGGCAAACCAGCAGCTTCAGTTCAGATCCGACGTCATTATGGACAAACATCTGCAGGATTATTCTGGATCAAGGAAGAAAAGGATGCAGAACTATATTCTGATACAGTAAATACGCTGCTGGATCATCAAGTTCACTGATGCGATCATCCTGGAGACGAGAACCTGATTGAGTCCCGCAGGATCTGCATCAGACCAGCAGCAGATCAGACGATGAAGGTGACGTCGTGGAGAAGTTCTCATCCACTCTCCGTTTCAGATCGGTGGGGTCAGTCTCCTGAGGGGTCAGAGGTCAAGGGTCAGGTCGGAGCTCTCTCACCTGTACTCTCCAAACGTGATATCATCGTCCTTCATGGGCTGGATCTCCGGGTCTCCGTGAGCATCTTCCTTCTCTTTAACTGAGACAAACATCAGAGAGTCACACACTGGCATTTATCACTGAAACAACAGATAACCCTAACCCTATTTCTGACTTGTTTTCCAGTACAAATATCTGAACATTCTTAAGTCAAGATGCATTTTGTGGAGAAACAAAATGACAGAAGATATCAAGTCTTGTTTTCTAAACAAATGCATCAAAATGAAGTGTTTATATTTAAAACGAGAAAGAATATCTGCCAGTGGGATAAAAAAAAAAAGTCAGATCTTTTCTTTTGTCACATTCCTTCATTTTGATTAAATATTACTAGTTTAAACTTTTGGAAAAAAAAGGAGAAACATATGCATGTTTGAACAGTTATGCACAATTGTTCACAATAAGACCATTAGCCTGAATTTAGAAAATAAATACAGTTTTTAGGGTTATTTTCGTTAACTAAAAACGAAAACCATTAAAAAAATGTTACTTGAAACAATTTAAACGTTAACTGAAATAAAATGATAAAACTTAAACTTATTTTATTTCAGCTAGTTGCCAAGATAACATTTTCTATTTTTGTTTAGTTCAACCTAATTTACGAAATCAACAAAACAATAAAAAATCATTTAAAAAACTATAAATATTGTTTAAAAAAACTGCATTTTACTCAATTTCTATATTGTTTTGGTATGTCATAAGGATTTTTTTTTAACAACAATTTTTATTTTCAAAGATTATCATAGAGGTTAAGACAACAGTTAATTTTTTCATTATAACTGAATAAAAAAAAAAACATGAACTCAACAATAACCCAATACCCTTACAAAATAAATAAATAATAAAAGAAAATAAATAAAAAGTACTACAATGACATACTTGTCTATATAGAGGCAATAAGGGCAGGTGGAGTGATGGAGGGTCTGCCCCCAATTGCCTCATCCATGGCACTGTACCATTTCCAGGATGCTGCTGTGGGCTTTCCATCCTCAGTGCTAACACCGGTCTGTGGACATTTCAGATCCTACATAAATGCACAAACATAATACAAAATTAGATTAGATCTTACTTTATTTTTTTTGAACGACAATTTTATTTTCAAAGATTGTCATACAAGTTAAGACAACAGTTAAATTTTTCATTATAACTGAATAAAAATAAAAAATAAAATATATATATATATAATAATAATACAAAAATGAACTCAACAGTAACTCAATAACCTTAAAAAAAAAAAAACAGCGATAACATACTTGTCTATATACTTTCAATGTCCATCAATTCCACAAAAGAGTCACCATCTAGACTCACTAAAAAATCATTGAACACTTTCCAGATGGACCAAAACACATGAAGTTTGTTTTAAAAAAAAAATAGGAAATCTTTGTCATAAGGATACTTAGAATATTTATAAGCAGTGTTGACAGTATCTGTTCCTTGTTTTGTAAGTTGTTTGTAGTGGTTTATTTTTGTTTTTGTGAATTAATAAAAATGAAAATCACAAAATAAAAACAAGAAAAATTGCTAAAAGCACAACAAAACTACAAAAACTTGAACTAAAATCAAAGTGAAAACAGAAAGTATAATAATAAAGTCTATAACAGTATATCAGTGATAATAAAATAATGCTCACCTGGATATTTGCCGCCCTTGTTCCTCTTGATGAAGCAGATGATGAGCAGGATGAGGATGAGCAGAGCGATGGCCGACATCAGACCGATGAACCAGCCCTGAGTGGCGATGTCCACCTGCGGACTCACCATCGCTGAGGAAGAGGAGGAGGAGGAGGAAGAGCATGAGACGTGAGCAGATCTTCAACTTTAAACAGCTCGATCCAGCGAGTCACAGAAGATCAGACGCCATGAACACAGTCATGAGAGACAAGCACGGAGAGGGAAACTCGACCAGCACTGCACAAATCATGTTCTTCATCAGTATTTCTCTCGTTTTACAGTACAAATATCTGAACTGTATATCTGTATATCAAGATACATTTACATGAGACACAATGCAGAAATTCTGAGAAATTGTGTTCTTCTTTCAGCATAAAGTCAATTTTGATGTCTTAATGTCTTAATTTTGCATCTCAAGTAAATTTAAGAATGTTGAGATATTTGTACTGGAAACAACTCAAAAATACTGAATAAGAAAATCACATTTGCAGTTCGTATTGATTATGGGATACAATCATGCTGATCGATCAATAAACAATAACAACTGAGCCACATTATGAGCACAGACGGACTCGTGCAGGACATACAGACGTGCGTCATGCGCTTCAACATCTCAACACAACGGCCGTCATGCATCACAGCCGTCAGATATCCCACAAGGCCTTGAGGCTGAGATGAAGCCTCACCTGGGACATTAACCAACAGCTCCTCAGAGTGATGGACCGCTTGGTCGTCATGACCCCGGGCCACCACACGCACCTTGTAGGCCAAACCTTTCTTCAAATTCTTAAGAACGTGGAACTGAGAGCCGTTGACCTTCTCTTTGTTCCAGTCTTCATCACCTGAGGGTTTCCAGCACAACAGGAAGCACTTCAGCGTCCTCACAATCAAATACGGGTAAGTTAGCTCTAGTCACCTGCTGAGTCAATCTGGAGTTAATTCTGACTACCCACCTACTACAGTGCTCCAATAATCTACAAAATAACTAAACTGTTATGACCCTTTGGTGAACTACTCTGCAAAAACTCACGTTCTTCCTCAGTGGTTTTGTCTTGTTTTCCAGTATATAAGATACATGTATAATGACATCAGATAAGATCTGAAGGTTTTTAAGATGTTTTCAAAATGAAGTGCGTTTATACTTAAAACAAGAAAAAATATCTGCCAATGAGGTCAGAAAAATAAACTTAATTCAAAGGGAAAACAGGATTGTCTAACCCGTTTTGCACTTTTTTGTTGTTGTTGTTGTTTTTAGGTGAGACACCGCAGGCAAAACCCTTGTTTTTTCATGCACTGCTCAATTTTTTTCAGACTAGTGGAAAGAAAATGTCCAAATGCACATATAAGCGTTTATTTTATTTTATTTATTGAGTTTTATTCCTCTCTATATTGTGAAGGTTTTTACTGAGGGATTTGTTTATATTTCATTCACACTGATTTATACAACATTGTATTCCTAATAACACGGCGAAAATGCATGTATGTAAAGATAATGAGTTTGTTTCTCCACTTCAGCTGCACTGACATACACCAAAACTTAGAGTTTTATTACTCTCTATATTATGAAGGTTTTTACTGAGGGATTTGTTCATATTTCATTCACACTGATTTATACAACATTTTATTTGTTAAAAACATGGCGAAAATGCATATATTTAAAGGTAATGAGTTTGTTTCTCCACTTCAGCTGCACTGACATACACCAAAACTTAGAGTTTTATTACTCTCTATATTATGAAGGTTTTTACTGAGGGATTTGTTCATATTTCATTCACACTGATTTATACAATAGTTTATTCTTAAAACATGGTGAAAATGTATTTGTTTTTATAAATTATTGAGTGATAGAGAGAGAAGTCCAAAATCCCCTTTGTAAAAACCTTAACTTTAATATGTCAATAAAATCCAACAATAATTTTTAACCTGGCATTATCCAAAGTTCAGATTTTGTGGAAATGTTTGCAAATTAGTGCACATTTAAATATAACATTTCAGAAAATGTAACATACTGTGATTAATCAACTGGGGAAGTATGGTGATATGATATCTAGTAGCTAATTTTTTACCCTATTCACCTGTAGTTTCTTATTTTAAGTATAAACACTTCATTTTGATCAATTTCTCAGACAACACGACTTTATATCTTCTTAACATGCTTCTTGATATAAGAATGATAAGAGATTTGTACTGGAAAACAAGACAAAAATACCAAGTAAGAACATTATTTTTTGCAGTGTACCCTGCTGAACAGACGGGTCACCATCAGCACTAACCAGCATTAACTAGCGTGGCGGTTGATCTGTTCAGCGGGGTAGATGACTGTGTATTAGTTACTACAGGAGCTCTACTCATGGGAATGTATATGTTTAGCGTTTCATCATCACCATCCTCACGACACACGCATGCAGGATTCTTACTCTTGTCTATAATATATTCAACATAAAGGTGTTTCTCAGGGCCCCAGTATTCCCAACTGATCAGCGCTCCATCCTCGCTCACGGATGAGCTGACATTCCCAAATGCAGGAGCGACCGGCGGCGCTGAGAGAGAGAGAGAGACATCATCAGCCCATCACAGTGACCTCTGACCTCCAGATCAGTGACTGTCAACGATGCACTGACATGAGCGGCACTGTTTACAAGAGGTCCAAACACAATGTGAGTAGCGTAATAACATGTGATGTTAACGTGGAGAGGCGGGGCTAGTGATGATGTCACTACTGTAGGAGAGAAGAAGGGTGTTTATTCTTGTTTATAAAAAAAAAAAGAATCAGAGCTGGATCATGAAAGAAAACACACACTGTACAGTGTTTCTCACAGGATTTAGTGAGATATTAATTTTTGGGAAGCCAAGCAATTCTAATGTACACAGTCCTACATCTTGAAAAAAAATTCTGCTGATTTGCAAAAAAAAAAAAAAAAGCATAATATAGCCTATTTTGATGATGCAGAGTTTAAAAATATCAATAAAAACATTTCATCGCATAGTTATTTTCACAAAATAAGAATGTAAATCTTTCAAATTATATGCATCTGCTTTAATGCACTTATCAAAACAACAAAAGCAGTCAAATTCCAAAAGTTTGACAAAAATAAATATTGAAAATGTATTGTTTAACTTCGACACCCATCTGTGCGGTGAAGAAGTCTTGTATTGTCCCTCAGTCAGCAGAAAAACACCACAAACACATGGTTCCTCTCTGAATCTGAGACAGATGACAACTGTTTGATCAATTCTCAGCATATTTTCACATGCATGACATTATTTGATACCTAATATGGATTTCAAGGTTAGAATTATGGCCAGTGACACAAGGAAATGCAAACATGAATCAGGTGTTTTACTGCATCCAAACAGAGACAGAGAATTATACATTTTGTGGGGTAATACATTAAATGGAGTATTTGAACATATTTTCCATCTCCACTCCGTTATCTAACTTAGCAAAAATGCTACAAAATTCATCAAATTTAGAGAGAAAGTGTGATGTGAAAGAGCAAAACAGACACTATTTCAGCACCCTAAAATTAGTAAGAAACAGGTATTGGATTTAATTAAGCAAATATGATAAACTGAGCAGGTGTGATGAGACTCTGCTGTCTTACACAGACCCACAAACATGAGACGTTCAAAAGACAAGTCGAAGTAGAAGAGTAAACAGAAAACACATAAAACTGACACACACTAAAGAAACAGCTGTGCACCCTATCTAGTGAACGTACCTCTGTCGAGGACAGTGACGGCCTCCTCGGTGAGCGCGGGACCGACTCCTCTCTGCGTTCTGGCACTGATATAAAACTTGTAGCGTGTGCTGTGAAGGAGGTTGTGCAGCGTGAAGCTGCTCTGATTGGACGGCAGATCCAGCTCCTCCAACAGACCCAAATCACTTTTGCTGTCGACTGGAGGTGGGACAGGAGTGGAAAGGGGCGGGGTCACGTTATTTTACCCAATCATAAGCTACACTTACAGACCATTTGTTCTGTTCACTGCTTCAAACTGACTCGAGCAACATAAACAAGGTCGAACATTCAAATATACACGTACGACACATGAAAACGGTAATAGCTTCAAAATATAGCAGAGATTCTGGAAACTTCCTTTTTTAAAACTTTAAATCATAAAGGCACATTCACACCAAAAACAAAAACTATGGAGTTTTAACTCTATGAGAATATTGACATTCACTCCACCCCTAACGGTATATAACAGAGGAACCGTATCGCTGGAATCACTTTCAGAACACTTATTTTAAGAACAATTATTTTAATCCAAACTGATGCAGTGTGCAACTTTTCATTCCTTAGACAGCATGTCTACTATTTTCAGTACAAGAAATTAAAAATGAATGCAACTCTTAAAAAAGTTCTTGTACTAAAACTCTTTCAACTCCTTGATGGAGATAAATGTTGTGATTAGGGCTGGGTCTCGATTTAGATGTCCCGATTCGATTCGATTTCGATTAGCAAGCTCTTGATTCAATTCTCGATTTTTTAAAATTACATTCAGTGAATATAGTTTTAATACAAATGCTATTGACATTTCTAAAAAAAAAATTTTTTTATTAATTCACCATTTGTTTACAATAAATTAAGAGCCACATGCCTGTATTTTAAACCTATTATTTTTTGTATAGGGTCCTTTTTTAAACAATAATAGGGCCCTATAAAATGTTCTTCTTAATGTTTCTGGTAATCAGATGATGGTCTAAAACATTAATTTCATTTATCCTAATCAAATGAAAATTAAACCCTTTTATTTTTTGGCAAACAAAGTGCTGCACAACAGATGTTTGTTTACTGTTAAAATTAAAAAGAAAACAAATGTGATTATTCCTATAATTCTGTATGTGTGTGTCTGTGAGTGAGTGTGAGTGGATGTATCGGTTTTACACTCTTGATGCTTTAGAGTGTAACCCCTTCCTTGCTGTCCACTTTTTTTTACTGCATTGTAGTTGAATTATTGATTTTATTTTACACAGTTACACAGGGTTACAGTCACACCAGTTCATAGGTGTGTGTGTGTGTCCGCCTGTGTATGAGTTGGTGTGTTGATTTTGCACTCTAGATGTTTTAGAGTTTCACCTCTTCTCTTTTTCTGCATTGTGGGGGATTTGTAGATTGTACACACAAATATTTTCTGTATTTTCACCCCCATTTACCATTTATTTCCTATGGTCGGTCATTTTTGACCGAAGACCATGAGTGTGAAAATTTGTTTTTTTTTACGAGCACTTAGCTTTTTCAAATCATGCCCTCAATTTTGTTTTGTGTTCACATACCAAGTGCCATTAAAGTCACCAAGTTTCGTACCATTCTGGTGAAGCTATGATTTTTAAAAATTCTAAATGTAAAATTCTCCGGTCCGAAGATCGCACAAGGGTTAAAAATAAAGATTTGTTAATATTTATTATTAGTAGTAGCATTGTTGTTACATTGAGACTGCTAAATAGTAATATTTCTGACACAGTTTCTTCACGTTAAACCAAACTTTTATTTTGACGGGTTGCCGTGTGAGGAACTTGCAGTTGCTTTCTATGTGATATTAGGGAGACCATATTTTTTTAGGTCCAAAAAGAGGACATGTCCGGGGAAAAGAGGACGTATGGTGACCCTAGTGATATGACGGTAGTTTTCTCAAATTAAATGGTAAAATGTTAATGAAGTGACTGTCAGAGCAGCTGGAGATGATATTTGTGTGTTCATATCGTCATATAGTGAGACGGCAGAAGCTGAAAACACAGCGAGCGTCGTCCGCGCTTTAGTACGTGTGTAGTAAACAAAGTCTGTGCCATACGCCATTTATTCATTCATTGCGGAAATCATGGTGCTCCATGTGTGATGTCGAATGCTTCCACAGATTTGTAGTATTTCTATAGCATTTCACCTGAGCATTGCAAATCGCGCACATTGCTTTGTTCTTGGTTCTTGTCAGCCATGATAAGCGCTGAATGAATGACAGGGTTTCTGTTGTAACATCGCGCAAGGTAAATAAGAGGGTGACATCTAGTGGAGAAGACTAATGATAAGATTCACGTTAATCAGATCTTGTTTTAAATGTTTGCTGAAATAAATACCAGAAAAGATCGATTTGCGGCTTTTGAGAATCGATATTGAATCGACGGGATAAAAAAAAACAAAAACAAAAAAAAAGGATTAATCGAAAAATCTAATTTTTTTTGGCCCAGCCCTAGTTGTGCTGCTGCATAAGCTTGTGGAAACCCCATCAGATCAACATTAGATTGTGTGTCTCTCTTATTGGCAGGCAGTGTAGTTACGGTTCCCGGTGTGAACGGGTCATAAAGCAGTAAACCGTAGTGACGCTGCACAGGTTTTCTCACCGGTCTGATATTTGAAGGTGTATCCGGACAGACGGCCATTCCTCTCGTGAGGTGGACCCCATTCCAGCGTCAGAGAGTCCAGATCTAAAGCAGAAACCTTGAAGAAGGACGGTGCGCCTGGAACTGGAACACAAACACACAGCATCTGTGTTAAATTACTGTAGCACCTGTGCGGCCTTCTGTACAGCTTTAGGTCAAAACAGTCCGGTTTAAAATACTTTATCCAGTGGTATATGATTAATAAATAAATAGATTAAAACATAGCCCAAGTCACAACACAATATTGTCTATTTCAACGGTTTTGTTCCAAACAGAAGGTTTGCATCTCCAGTCAGCACAGTGGCGAAGCTTGTGGAAACCCCATCAGATCAACATTAGATTGTGTGTCTCTCTTATTGGCAGGCAGTGTAGTTACGGTTCCCGGTGTGAACGGGTCATAAAGCAGTAAACCGTAGTGACGCTGCACAGGTTTTCTCACCGGTCTGATATTTGAAGGTGTATCCGGACAGACGGCCATTCCTCTCGTGAGGTGGACCCCATTCCAGCATCAGAGAGTCCAGATCTAAAGCAGAAACCTTGAAGAAGGACGGTGCGCCTGGAACTGGAACACAAACACACAGCATCCGTGTTGAATTACTGTAGCACCTGTGCGGCCTTCTGTACAGCTTTAGGTCAAAACAGTCCGGTTTAAAATACTTTATCCAGTGGTATATGATTAATAAATAAATAGATTAAAACATAGCCCAAGTCACAACACAATATTGTCTATTTCAATGGTTTTGTTCCAAACAGAAGGTTTGCATCTCCAGTCAACACAGTGGCATTTTGTTCTTGAATGAAACAGTGAATGATTCAGTGACTCATTCATTAAGTCACTCGCTTCAGTCTTGAATGAATCAGCTGTTTGAAGGAATCAGTTGAATGAATGAATCAATCATTAAGACAGTGACTACCACCTACTGATGGTTTTAGTTTCATATGATTTTATTTTCTATATTTTCTATATTTTGTATTTAGAATATTATTTATGCCATCGTAAAGATCCATCTAAATGCCACTTCAGATGCAGATTCTGTATCTTTTGCCTGATTTGACTTGATTGGCAACAGCGCTTTAATGCCTTATTCTTATTACATGTATTAAACAAAAATAAATTAAAATGTAAATGAATTTGAGCTGCCTTTATAAAGGTCAAAATGCCTCTGGAAATGGATTTAAATATCAGCCCTTAATGGAAAAGTATGTGTTGCTGCTGACAGTTTTGAGCATGTCCTCTGTTGTAGAAATGTTGCCGCTGCTCTTACCGCCCTCGGGTGTCTCGAAGCGCTGCGGGACGCTGGAGGGACCTTCTCCTCGGCCGTTGAAGGCCGTCACCTCCAGGCTGTAGACGCTGTACGGCAGCAGGTCAGGCAGTTTCCCGCTGGTTTTGTTGGGGCTGAAGATCTCAGTCCTGTGTTTGCCGTGATGAGAGTTGTGTCGGTGTAAACTGCGCTCACGATGGTAATGCACCTGCACACGGACAACAGTGCAACCCCCGTTAAAGGCTTTCTACCATCCACCTGCTCTCCATATCCTCCCAGCATGCACTAGTCTGAGCGTGATCAATACTGAGATGGTTTCAATGTTTTTATTCGTCCATTTGTGTCTCCTAAAGATTGTGTCATTAGACTTAGTTGTATGTATTTTATTTTTATGTAAATTTTGTAAATGTGAATGTGAATTACAGCTGCTCAACTACCGCAAACATCACAATCACGATTATTTTGGTCAATAATTCGGAAAAGTCATGCATTTATTGAATTTTTAAAAACTATTTTTTAACACTTGGTTATTATAGCTAAATAAAACTAAAACAAAAAAAATAAACAATTAAAATTAAACATTAACTGAAATGAAATAAAATATAAAAAAATGTAATTTCAGCTAGTTGTCAAGGTAACATTTCACATTTTTTGTTTAGTTTAAGTTAAAGTACAAAAATAAATAAACTAAAACTAAAATGTCCTAAAACATAATTAGACATAAAAACACAAAAACTAATAAAAATGACAAAAATACTAAAACTTTAAACAGAAAATATAATAACTATATAGTTTCAAAATGATTTAGTTAAAATATTAACTAAATCTATAATAGATATATAATTCAACTGAAAAACAAACAAAAATATATTTAAAATAAATTTAAATGAGATCAATTAATAAACATTAATAATAATTTGAGAATTGAGAAACAGAATGTAGTTCAATAATCATTTGATCTTGTTTTCATAATTGTGTTTAGAAATAACCTTTGATTAATCGTGAGTATCTGAATTTGAGTATCGGCGGGTCACATGACGAGAGGAGCGCCGTACCTTATAGCCCTGCAGTCGGCCGCGCACGGATTCGGGCGAAACGGGGCTCCAGCGCACCTCTGCTAGCGTACTGTTCAGCACCAGGACACGCACGTCACCCGGAGCTGCTGACGGAACTGCACAGGTGCATTCTGGGATTAGCAGCGTTCCGCTAGACAAGCGTATAAAGGTGTGTGAACTGCTGAAAGCATCACTCACAGTCCTCTCCGGAGTATCCAATCACAGCGCTGGGTTTAGGTCCAGGACCGTTTTCGTTCAGCGTCTGAACCAACACCTCGTACGGCACAAACGTGGGCGTCCCCGACACAACGAACTTAGAGACGTTAGCCACGCTGACCGACGTCCAGTCTTTCTCCATGTCCTGCTGACGCCACATGACCTTATACTGCAGGCCGGGACCGTTGGCCTGCAGAGGCGTCAGCGGCTGCCCAACACAAACACAAACATGTTAACAAGCATCCAACAGAACGGCTTATACATACATGAACTTCATCTCCACAGAGCCATTCATTTGAGAAAACTATCATCAGATACACACAGAAACTAGTTTAACACAAAGAAATTATGTAACCCTTCTGAAATTAATAATAAGAATAAAATAATTACAATTTAAATTTTTTCAGGAATGTCACATAATTTTCCTCCATGTTTTAATTTTGACAGTAAACCTCTGTTGTGCCACTTTGTTTTATAACAAAAAAGGAATTATTACATTTGAAAAAATTAAATAAATGCTTAATGTTTTATGCCTTCATTACCATGGTTTTTCATAAATACAGAAAAATGAAAACAGACAACATAATTCCTGAATAAATAAATACATAAGACCCTATTTTTGTATTTTAATTGTTAATGTTTTATGCATTTAATTGATTAGACATGATTTTTGATTATTACAATGGGACATGTGGGATTTGGGATTTTTCTTAACGATTTTTTAAGCAAAAAAAAAAAAAAAGGGAATTTGGGGAAAAAAATTAAACGGATTTCATAGGGCCCTAATAAATTTATTTTTTAAACTATTGATAAAGTGCTATTAATTCACTATTAATAAAGTTAAATCATAATTTCAATTAAACAAAAAAATGATTTATTTCAACAAAATTAATTTGAAACAAAACCTGAATTTAGGAAAAATAAAAGCGATTCATAGGGCTCTAATGAACATCATGGGTTAACATCGTTTATATCATCATATGAGGTGTTTATTAATAATCAGCGTTTTACCTTCCACGTGATGACCAGATTATTGTGTTCGGTGCCGTGACCTTTGACCTCAGTAGGGTTCTCGTCAGGAGCTGTAGGTATTAGAGACGCGTTAGAAACGAGCCGATGAACACTAATGTGAGCTTGAACACGCGTGGGCCGTACCTGCGGGGCTGGTCCTGTACTGGCGCGAGGGCATGCTGGGACGGCTGAAGCCCACATCATTGAGTGCCAGCACTCTGAAGCTGTAGTGGACGTACGGAGAGAGCTTCAGGTGAGCCGTGGTCTTGGTTCCAGGAACCTCCGTCAGATTGTGCCACACGCCGCTCTGGTGGAGAGCGTCCTCATACTGGATCAGGAACTCTGACACGGCAAGTACACAAGGTCATTCAGAAAGCATCCTTACACCCAACAGAAATGCAGAGATCTTTAAAAGCATGCACACAGGTGTGTGTGTGTGTGTCGTACTCTTGATAGGGCTGTTGTGTTCGTCTCCAGGTGTCCAGGTGAGCTGAACGCTTCTCGCTCCCGGATCCGTCAGCTCCAGATCAGTCGGCGTTCCCGGATGCTCTGTAGAGTTAAATACCACTAATAAATAATAATATAGTAATACATCTTATTTCTATATTGCCTTCGAGAACCCAAGGGCACTTTACATAATACAAATAATATAGTTATATAATCAAGACAACACTGTGAACAGGCAGTCAGATGGTGATCATATAACATACAAGACAATAACCAAAATAAAAACCAAAAAGAAACCATCAATAAAACATATTGTGAATTTAGTTCAGTCTTAAAGGTCTGGAGTGAGGAGACAGCACAGAGGTTTTCAGTCAGCTTATTTCAAAGCTTAGGAGCTGAAATGCTGAACACCCTACCAACATAAAACTAATTCTCAGAACTGGATCTAAGAGTGCAGGCGGGAATGTAAGGGTGTATTAATTCGGTAAGATATGAAGGTCCTAAACGGTAGGCTTAAAAACTTGGACAAGAAAGAATAGGAGCCAGTGCAGTGCTGAAGGATGGGAGTGATGTGAGCTAATTTATTTTTCAATGTAAGGGCATGAGCAGCAGAATTTTGAACTAGTTGCAAGCAATTAAGGGCTTTAGTGGGTTGGCACCAAAACAAAGGGTTACTGTACAATAGTTCAGATGCAAGGTTAAAGCATGGATAACAGTTTCGGCATCTTTGTGATTTCGCAAAGGTCATATACGAACAATTTTGCGAAGGTAGAAAAGCAAGATTTAACAAACTGGCAGATGTGAGGTTTAAAGCATAATGTGGAATAAAATAATACCCCAAGATTCCATACAATGGGTGAAGAATTTACTGTAACTCCATCATTATGTGAGTGAAGGTGTCATTTTGGGAGGAGATAAGGGATTTAGGGCCTACTAAAAGGATTTCTGTTTTGTCAGCATTCAGTTTTGAGAAGATTTCAGCATCCATGGTTTGAGATCTCATAGGCAGGAAGTGATGGAAATGGGAGGAAAAACAGAATTGGGCTGTACAGTAAGATAGATTTGTGCATCATCAGCATAAATATGGAGGTTCAGACCATGAGGCTGAATGATCTGACCAAGAGGAAGCATATAGATTAGAAACAGAAGTGGACCGAGAACCGAACCTTGAGGTACACCACGGGAAACGAGATCTGCTGATAACAGATAGTCGAGATATAATACTGAATGGCAATCTGTATCAAAAGCTGCACTCAGATCAGAGGAGCAGAAGGATGAGGGCACCAGAGTCAGAGGTCATTCACTACTCTTAAAAGAGCAGGATCTGTACTGTGGAGAGGACGAAAACCAGACTCAAATGGTTCACAAATTGGACTTGTCCAAATGAGACAAATTTGTCCTTTTTCTGATACTTCTAATATACATAAAGGGAAGGTTGGAGATGGGTCTACAGTTACTCAGGACTGTGTTATCAAGCACTGGGGCTACATCAGCTATTTTTAGTCAGTAGCAAGGGATCTGTTTATCGTGTGGATGATTTGTAAAAAAAGATAAGGCAGAATGTTTTTGACTGTGTGTGTGTTGGTACTGGATCAATCTTGAGTTGATCCAATATCAACACAATTATAGAATTTGATTTAACAATCAGCTATTCAATCTCAGATGCATTAGTGAGTAAAAAGTCTAGCAGGGAAGTAGAGAATTCTGGGGAAGCAAATGAAGGGAAAGATAGATAGATACTGTAAATTTACTGTAGAATAAATGTCTGTAATTTCTGTAGAGATGGTGGTTTAACAAGTTTGTTGATCTCAGAGAAAAGAGTCCTGGATTTACACTTTGCTTTTTTAATGACAGCATGCAGTGCTAAGTACTTTTGTCAACATAAACATGAATCAATTAATCAACTCATGATCACATGATCAGACAAGCACATGACACCCTCAGCTGCATGTCTGCACACGCACAAATTAAAGCGCATTCACGTGATGAGTCATGCAAACTCTACATACGCCTTCATGTGGAAATCAACAGAACGACTCCAAAGCCAAATCAGAAGACAGATCAATGTGATCACACAACAGCATGCTCCATGAACCTCACCACACACAAGCCCAGGGCATTATGGGATGTGATGAGCTGTGTGTTTACCGTAGATCACTGCGGGAGTGGGCGGGGCCTCTGAGTGGGAGGGGTTAGAGGAGTGAGGCAGAGATGTGTTAATTTACAGACAATTACACACTTCTAGCTAAAATTATTCTAAAATGCACTATTCTGTCAATGTTTATTT